CTTTGCACAGCCTAATAAGCCACAAATGATCTGGCTTTGCACAGCCTAATAAGCCACAAATGAGCTAGCTTTGCATAGCCTGTTTAATAAGCCACAAATGTACTGGCTTTGCACAGCCTAATAAGCCACAAATGATCTGGCTTTGCACAGCCTAATAAGCCACAAATAAACTGGCTTTGCACAGCCTAATAAGCCACAAATGATCTGGCTTTGCACAGCCTAATAAGCCACAAATGAGCTAGCTTTGCATAGCCTGTTTAATAAGCCACAAATGTACTGGCTTTGCACAGCCTAATAAGCCACAAATGATCTGGCTTTGCACAGCCTAATAAGCCACAAATAAACTGGCTTTGCACAGCCTGATTAATAAGCCACAAATGAACTGGTTTTCACAGCCTGGTAATAAGCCACAAATGAGCTGGCTTTCCACAGACTAATAAGCCACAAATGAACTGGCTTATGATCACATGATCAAAGCCCCACCCACTTTTGTGCATGGCCACCATCTTTCCTTCTTCTTTTCTTTTTTAACATGTCCCTCTTTCTTGGATGCCCCTGTTTTGAAAATCAAAACTTCTAACCTGACATTCTTTAAGCCAGTTCTTAGCTGCAGCTCAGGTTCCTCTTGTCTCCAGTTACCTCTCTGGTTACAAGTCCTTAAGGCAAAATCTTACCTGAGAAAAACCACCAGCCCTTCTGCAATGGCTGGCCCCCTTTTTCAAATTTCTCCTTGGACGTTGCAACAGCCGTCTAAATTCTGCAATGTCTTCCCGCACCGTCTTCATGTGCTCGTCCCACATTCTTGCCGATGACTGTGTTGGTAGTTATAAACCGGCTTGCACTTCATCCTCTTAGCTTATGGCAGTGGTTCTCAACCTTTTTAATGCCGCGACCCCAACCGGTTGTAAGTCGAGGACTAAACCGGTCGTAAGTCGAGGACTAAACTGGTCGTAAGTCGAGGACTAAACCGGTCGTAAGGCAAGCGGCAGAGACGGAGCAGGCCGACCACCAGCTGGCCCAGCCCAAGGGAGGTAAGGCACCCGCCGGAAAAGGGGAAAAAAATGGCGGACAAAAAAAAATGGCGGACAAAAAAAATGGCAGACAGCCTTGCTTGGCGACCCCCATGAAATGGTCGATCGATCCCAAATGGGGTCCCGACCCACAGGTTGAGAACCACTGGCTTATGGCATACTCAGATCAGGAAAGGCAGCAAATTCTGATTGCGGTGGAGAAACCTTGAGGCGAAAGAACAGACTTAAGAAATCCTACATGCTCGTGTGTATTTGTGTGTTGTTTTTTAGACTTGAGGAGCCACAGAGCAGTTGATCTCTGGGTTGGCAACGGGTCCTCAGCGGTGGGCCTCCTTCTGGACCAGCAATGATTCACAGCCTCTTCCTCATCAACTCCTCTGGAGACATTTTCCTGGAGAAACACTGGAAGAGCGTGATCAGCCGTTCGGTTTGCGACTACTTCTTCGAGGCTCAAGAACGAGCTTCGGAGGCCGAAAATGTGCCCCCGGTGATCTCCACCCCTCACCATTATCTTCTGAGCGTGTATCGACACAAGATCTTCTTCGTGGCCGTGATCCAAACAGAAGTGCCACCGCTTTTCGTCATTGAGTTTCTTCACCGGGTGGTGGATACGTTTCAGGTAGGTGAATAGAATTAATGCACAACTGTCTGTTTGTTTGTTTTTTTGGGGGGGGTTGTGATGTGGATGTTTAAAAAGCAGCATGCAGAAGCATGGATAATAAAATTCACGGAGGTGCAAAATGCATGCGTCGAAAGCTGACACGGCTAGGAGGAGAACACAGGGAAATCACATGATGTCTTGTGATGTAGGATAATGCAGTGTGACTGACAAATGCTTTCTTCTGACGTCATTAGGGATAAGAAGGCATTGTTGTAAAAATATCATCGCTGTGAAAGAAAAATGCATCGTTAGGGAACGATTGTCAGTATTTTTTTCCCCAGATTTGGGGCTCCTTAAAAACGCCTTTCGAGGTCCTATTCAAAAATACAGTAATGCTATTAGCATTAGTAATAAATAGTTTTATTCAATTGTTGGCAGATTCGTTATCTTGTTCATTTCAATTACCATTAGTTGCAATTAGTGGCTGTATATAGCTAGTTGATTCTTTGGATTAGGTTTGGCATTTAGTAGACCATAATCCGAATGTGAGTCAGTATATGAGTGTGGTGCTAGGGATATCCATGGTCCGGGTGTCAAGAAAGTCAAAAATGTCCCCATTTTTAAAGTGTAAACCAGTGTTTCTCAACCTTGGCAACTTGAAGATGTGGGGACTTCAATTCCCAGAGTTCCCCAGCCAGCTTTGCTGGCTGGGGAATTCTGGGAATTCAAATCCCCACATCTTCAAGTTGAAAAGATTGAGAAACACTGGTCCACATTTTTTGCAAACAGGAGCAGGGATCAACCATACAGGTGTACACCGTCTACCTTTTGATCCCTCCCTGCAAATGCCTCTCTACAATGCCCCTTTCCTACTCTACTGCACTGGTGGCAGGTTGAGCAGACAACCTGGGAGGCAGGTAAGGGAAAATGGAACAGCTCAAGCTTGCCCTGCTTGATCAGCCTGTTTGGCAAAACCAAGGTCCCCTGGGCGCGCAAACTTTCGTGTAAGTACTGCGAGCCCAGGGATGATTAGCATAAAGGCAGGACTGGCCTTGCCAAACAAAGCAACTCTTCCGAGCAGGATTGGCCCCAGGATTCAGCCTGATTTAAAGGGCAGGTCGTCCTCTATTTGCAACAGTTCGTTTAGTGACCGTTCGAAGTTACAACGGCCCTGAAAAAAGTGACTTACGACCATTTTCCCCCGGTCACGTGATCGAAATTCTGACGCTTGGCAACTGACTCATATTTACGACGCTTGCAGCGCCCCGGGGTCACGTGTTCCCCTTTTGCGACTGTCTGACGAGCAAAGTCAACGGCGAAGCCAGATTCTCTTAATAACCTTGTTACAAACTATAACTGCAGTGCTTCACTTAGCGACTGTGGGAAGAGAGGTCGTAAAATGGGGCAAAACGCACTTAACAAATGTCTCACTTTTGAAAAAGGGGGCCAGCCATTGCAGAAGTGCTGGTGGTTTTTCTCAGGTAAGATTTTGCCTTAAGGACTTGTAACCAGAGAGGTAACTGGAGACAAGAGGAATCTGAGCTGCAGCTAAGAACTGGCTTAAAGAATGTCAGGGTAGAAGTTCTGATTTTCAAAACAGGGGCATCCAAGAAAGAGAGGCATGTTAAAAAAAAAAAAAAGGAAAGATGTCCTCAACGAGGAAGGATCCAACGTAGAACTAAGGAGAAAATTCCTGACAGTGTGAACAATTAACCAGTGGAACTGCTTGCCTCCAGAAGTTGTGGATGCTCCACCACTGGAGGCTTTTAAGAAGAGACTGGAGGATTACTTGTCTAGAATGATAGAGAGTCTCCTGCTTGGCAGGGGGTTGGACTAGTCCCTAGGAGACCTCTAGGGTCCCTCCCAACTCTGTTATTCTATTATGAATTTTCTTGGAGACATATTTTAAATATATTAAACTATTGACATCTGTATTTTAGTTATTTTAAATGTACATGTCTGCTTTCCCCCCCCCTTGGGGTCTTCTCAGTTTTCCCCCTATCCCCATATAGATAGTTCCTTACAGGCCTATATGAAATTAGGTTGAGCTCTTAGTTGTAACTTGGACTCCTTTATTATCCATGTTCCTGGTTTTCAGTTTCTGATGGAGCTTCCTGATGGTCGTAAGATGAGAAATGCTGCTTTTGTGGCCTTTGAAGCAGGAAACCCACAAAGGGAAGATTTCTCCATTCCAAATCCTCTTCCGATGAACGGAAGCAGACTCTTTAAAATTGTACCTCCATCTGGTCTGATGATGGGATGGGCCATTTCCAGATGGTTTTAGTGGTCCCACAGTACAATCCCTCTCCCCTCCCGCCTTCTTTTCTGCTGAAACTGGGCAGGAGATAATCCTTTCTGAGCCGTGGCTCGTGTTCCCTTATTTTGGAAACCATTTATACTTTTGGTTCTCACCTAATTCCCGGGCATTTAGTGAATCTCTCTTTTCCTGAGGGCAGCTCGCTCCGAGAATGGAGAGCTGCTTAGTTTTGCTTCTCCCCATCCTCCCCAGGATTATTTTGGAGTCTGCTCTGAGGCGGTCATCAAGGACAACGTGGTGGTGGTCTATGAAGTGCTTGAGGAGATGCTGGACAATGGCTTCCCCTTGGCTACAGAGTCCAATATTCTGAAGGAGCTGATCAGACCGCCGACAATCCTCCGGACGGTTGTCAATACAATCACAGGTAGGCGGTTGTGACTGGCCTCACATAGTCCATTAGGCTAAAATGGGGTTGGTTGATTGGTGGTTTATGGGGTTGGCTGAATAGCCTACAGTCCGTAGTTAGTGTATGGTGAAGGGTTTAGTACAAACTAAACTCCTGGGTCCAGTTTTGCATGGCGTAGAGTGTTACACTGACACAGCCTACTTGGGCTTTTTGTCTGATTGTGGAAGATGGACAGAAAGGCTGTGTTCAGTTATCCTACCAAAAACCAGGGCTTTGTTTGATTTTGGGTTAACATGGCAATTGTAGTTAACAAACATGGTTAATCAAATCACAGGTTAATGTGATAGGCATACTTGGATATCTCCGAGACCGCCTTCTGCCGCAGGTTGCCTCCCATCGGCCAGTACGCTCCCACAGAGTGGGTCTCCTCAGGGTGCCGTCGGCCAGGCAGTGTCGGCTGGCGACCCCCAGGGGGAGGGCCTTCTCTGTGGGTGCCCCCACCCTCTGGAACGAGCTACCCCCGGAGATCCGGACGATTCCGGATCTCCTAACCTTCCGCCGCGCCCTCAAGACATGGCTTTTCCAGCAAGCGGGACTGACCTAGGGTGAATTTTAAATAGGGATAATTTTAATGATTTTAAACAAGACACAGCTATAAATATTTGGTTTTTAATTGGCTTTTACAGGGGAAATGTTTTGTATTGTTTTTAATATGCTGTGAGCCGCCCTGAGTCCCATGGGGGAGAAGGGCGGCATATAAGTTAAATAAATAAATAAATAAAATAAATAAATAAAATCGCTTCTGTTTGGTGTCTAAAGTTTCTAAGACAGCAGGCTGGTTGCATAGACCTTCCAACCCCAAAGCATTGCTCTGTCCCTCTGTGTGTGTGTGTGTGTGTGTGTGTGTGTGTGAGAGAGAGAGAGAGAGAGAGAGAGAGAGAGAGAGAGAAAGAGGGAGAGAGGGATCGTAGCCATGATTACATGGTGAAAGCCTACCTACTTTTATGTGACTTGTGACCCATGTAAAAAGGAGCAGGGCTTTGATTGTTGGGATGTGGCCACCATTTTGTCCTAGGTTATTGCTGCAGTGAAACTGACTTGTCTGGCGCGTGTTCTGGCTTCTTCCTCCCTTCTCCGTCTTTCCAGGAAGCACCAATGTGGGAGAGCAGCTCCCCACAGGGCAGCTGTCCGTGGTGCCCTGGCGACGGACCAGCGTGAAGTACACCAACAACGAAGCCTACTTTGATGTGATTGAGGAAATAGATGCCATCATCGACAAATCAGGTATTCCAGTCCCGTCCTTGCTCAAAGACAACAGAAATCTCGGCATTTATGGAAAACCACCTAGCCTTTGTCCTTTGCTTAGCCAAATTTTTGGAAGCAAATTTTTTACCCCTGCCTTTTTTCCCCTGGAGCTGACAGAGAGACTGCCCCATGTTCCTGTGCCTCAGGCAGACTAGAACTTAGTGATCTCTTCCAGCATCTTCACCTCTACATCAGATTGGCTTTCTTTTCTAGTTTACTTCCCCTAATTAGTTAATGAGTGGTTGCTTTGCCTACAGCTTGGCAAATATAAACTTACTGTCAGGCATGAAGAATCTAGACCAGAGGTCCCCAACCTTTTGGTTACGTGGAGAGAGATTTTTCCGCAGACCGGAGGGGCCGTGGTTTCGTGTTCTGCCTGCATCCCACGGAGGGGGCTTTGCTTGTTTGTGTGGCCCGGTTGCTGGCATGCCACAGCCCAGTACCAGTCCACAGACCGGGGGTTGGTGACCCCTGATCTAGACCACAATCAAGTTCCAGTTAGGAAGATTTATTGGTCATGCCTATTCAAAAAAAATCTAGCCAACTAATGGTCAATAGTAAGTTGGCCCTAGATAAGAGGGGCTGGACTTGGATTGTTTGTGGGAACGTAACGACTCTAGACTGATGACTTGCTTGACTCCACCCCCAGACTCTGCTTGCTCTTCTTCTAAACTTACCTTTTGGAAAAGGAATACAGAGAGTCTTCAACTTACAACCACAACTGAGCCCAAAAGTTCCATTGCTAAGCGAGACAGTTGTCAGTAGCTGCGTTTTACCCCATTTTACTACCTTTCTTGTCGTTAAGTGAATCGTTCCAGTTGTTAAGTTACCAACACGGTTGCAGATCGAATCTGGCTTCCCCCTTGAGTTTGTTTGTCGGAAAGTCACAAAAGATGGTCACATGACCCCGGGAGACACTGGAAATGTCATAGTGAGCCAGTTGCCAAGGGTCCAAATTTTGATCACGTAATTAGGGGTGTGTGAAAAACAGTCATGAGTCATTTTTTCAGTGCTGTTATAAGTTCAAATGGTCACTAATGGTTATATGAGGGTTAGAGTGTTTAGACTAGCCCCAGTGTCCTTCCTGATCTATGTGAATTATTTTTTGTTTGTTCGTCTATGTTGCAGGTTCCACAATTACAGCTGAAATCCAAGGGGTGATTGATGCCTGCGTGAAACTGACTGGAATGCCTGACCTCACCCTCTCCTTCATGGTAAAAACAAGAGGGGAAAGACCCTCTTGCCCATCAGTTGTAACAAATTCTCTGGCTGCCCTTTCACAGCCAACCATCCTGGAGCCAATATCCAAAATAGGAAAGCAGGAACATCTTCCCACAAGTGGTCTGAAACAGTCAAAGCAGAGTACCGGTGTTCTGCTTGACCGCCATAAATCCATAAAGTTGGTGTAGGTGACTTTGGTTCTTCATCTCTTGGTGGATATTCAGATTCTGCCACAGTTTATTTCCCGGCCTGCAGAGATGGATAAAAAAATTAGGAACAACTCTGGAAGAGAGAGGTGCAGCAGCTTTGTTGTAAAATAGGGGAAGGATCTTGCGGAAGGGAAGGGTGATGTGAGAAGAGTTTACCTCAGGGGTCTTCAAACTTGGCCACTTTAAGACTTGTGGACGAAGGGTCTTGTGGAAGGAAAGGGTGATGAGAAGAGTTTACCTCAGGGGTCTTCAAACTTGGCCACTTTAAGACTTGTGGACAAAGGGTCTTGTGGAAGGGAAGGGTGATGAGAAGAGTTTACCTCAGGGGTCTTCAAACTTGGCCACTTTAAGACCTGAGGGCTGGCTGAGGAATTGTGGGAGTTGAAGTCCACAAGTCTTAAAGTGGCCAAGTTTGAAGACCCCTGGTTTACATCTTTGAAAATGGGGATTGGGAACCGTGTCAAAGAGAGAAGACCAAAGCACAATGTAATGTGGCGATGTCTGAACTGGGCACTTCATAACAAGGTAGTAGCAACGTATTTCTCAACCTTGTTAACTTTAAGACCCGTGGACCTAAATCCCCAGAATTCCCCAGCCAGCAAAGCTAGCTGAAGAATCCTGGGAGTTGAAGTCCACAGGTCTTAAAGTTGCCAAGGTTGAGAAACACCGGAGAACAGCACCACCCGCCAAGGAATCTCCAGCTCTTCTGTCCTTCTTCTTTCAGAACCCCAGATTGCTGGATGATGTCAGCTTCCACCCCTGCGTGCGTTTCAAGCGGTGGGAATCCGAACGCATCCTGTCCTTCATCCCCCCTGATGGGAACTTCCGCTTGCTCTCTTATCACGTCAGCGCTCAAAAGTAAGATGGATTCTTCCAAGCGTTTTGGACTTTCCCTCTTTATCTGAGGGAACAAAAGATGGCTCCATGGAATCTTCCACCAGAGAATTCTACCTTTGGCTTCATACAAGTGTCTTCTTGGTACAGTCCATTTGGATGAATGTCCCTAACACACTGTAGTGCAGGGGTCTTCCAATTGGGCAAATTTAAGTCTTGTGGACTTCAACTCCCAGAATTCCTCAGCCGGCCATGATGGAATTCAAGCCGTTTCCTGAAAGGAAAGGTTTAAGTCAAACAGAAAAGCAAACTCAGACTGGCAGAAGGGCTCTTAATCTGGAAGAGGTGGGATTTATAGACATTCTAGACCAGGGATAGTAACCTTGTCTCTTTTATGACTCGTGGACTTCAACTCCCAGAATTCCTGAGCCAGCATGGCTCAGCTTGGAAGCCTCTCCCTTTCCCCTCAGCACGGCTGCCTCAGGAATTCTGGGAGTTGAAGTCCACGAGTCATAAAAGAGCCAAGGTTGCCTACCCCTGTTCTAGAATATTGTCGCTGCCTTGATTAGATGGTTTCGCACCAAATGGCCGCCAACCTCGGCTGGCTGGGGAATTCTGGGAGTTGAAGTCCACAAGTCTCAAAAGTTGCCAGGTTTGGGGACCCCTGCCGCAGTGCGATGCTTTCTACCTCAGCAAAGCAGCAAGACAGAGAATACAGCTTTTGTGAGATAGCAAAGCTGCCAAGGTTGGTGGGCATTTGGTGGGAGACCGTCCAATCAAGACAGGGACAAGATCCAAGAATGTACATACATCTCACTTCCTCGGGATTAAAGGCCCTTCTGCCACTCTGAATTCACCCTTTCTCGCCTGACTTAACCCTTTCTTTTCAGGAAACTGCTTATCGCCTTCCTGGCCTTCTCCCCAAGCTTTTCTCTGTGCATTTGGGCAGCCTTCTAACTAGAGCATTGGGCCACCTCTGTCTGCCATGTTTATTTTCTAAAGTCAAAATGGTAATTTGGGAAAAGAAAGATTGTGAGGATCGGGGATCCTAGAGGGCAGCTTCTTATTCACCTTTCTCTACATTTGGACAGCAAAATGAAGATGAGGGGGCAGCACCAAGGGAGGGGTCTATGGAAACATGGATGCCAGGGACACCAGGTTGTCTCCGCTACTGTGGGAGTTACACCACTTTGGGTACCCAGTAGTTTTATGAGAAAAGAATATTGGTAGCTCAGGGTTGAACTGTGGGGTCCTTGGTGCCCTCTGAGCTTGGTGGTTTTCTTGCAGACGTTTCATTACCAAACTAGATAACGTCATCAGTGCTAGAAGGGTGTGGGCTTTGCTCTTCATTTGTATATTAGTGGCTTGCCGTATCAGCGCTTCCTTGAACCATCAAGCCTAATCAACAACCTAATCAAGGAATCCCTAAGAACATTCCCACGAACAAGGATAAGGGCAAATCACTAGTATATAAACAAACAGCCACCCCACACCCTTTTAGGGTGATGCTGTTACCTAGATTGGTAGGTAACAGCAAGAAAACAGCCAAGTTCAGAGAGCACCAAGGATGCCACAGTTTTATGAGATGCCAACAGCTCGCCAATCTTCGGGCCACGCTTATTCTTTCCACTTGCTCTTGCTGTGATGCCAGCGGGGATTAGCAGGGTGCACCTCCTTTTGCCGTGATAATGCTCTTCTTTTTCTGCAGCTTAGTGGCCATCCCCGTCTACGTGAAGCACAACATCACCTTCCGAGATAGCAGCTCCCTCGGCCGCTTTGAGATCACCGTGGGGCCCAAGCAGACCATGGGGAAGACGGTGGAGGGGGTCCTGGTAACCAGCCAGATGCCCAAAGGAGTGCTTAACATGACCCTCACACCTTCCCAGGGGACACACACGTTTGATCCTGTCACAAAGGTGAGGAAGTAGATCCTTCTCTTCTGTAGGATTAAGATTAAGAGCCGTGGTGGCGCAGTGGTTAGAAAGCAGTATTGCAGGCTGACTCTGCCCACTGTCAGGAGTTCGATCCTGACCGGCTCAAGGTTGACTCAGCCTTACATCCTTCCGAGGTCGGTAAAATGAGGACCCAGATTGTTGGGGGGGGGAATATGCTGACTCTGTAAACTGCTTAGAGAGGGCTGTAAAGCACCGTGAAGCGATTATTATTATTATTATTATTATTATTATTATTATTATTATTATTATTATTATTATTATTATTATTATTATTATTATTATTAAAATTTAATAAGTTAAATTATATAAGTCTAATTGCTGTTGCTATTAATTCACTGTGAACTATCTTGTCACCCCTTTCTCCATCCTTCCCTTGGAAGCTCCTGACATGGGACGTGGGGAAGATCAACCCTCAGAAGCTGCCCAGTTTGAAGGGGACGATGAGTCTTCAGGCAGGGGCCTCCAAGCCTGACGAGAATCCCACCATTAACCTCCAGTTCAAAATCCAGCAGTTGGCGATCTCTGGTTTGTGATCTTTCAATTCTCCGACTGTCTTTTTTTTTTTTAACCCCTTTTTTAAAGCAGGAGTCCCCAACCTCCAGTCCGTGGACTAGTATAGTACCGGGCTACGGCATGCCAGCAACCGGGCCGCACAAGTAAGCAAAGGCCCATCCGCAGGATGCAGGCAGCACTCATCTCTTGTATTTTGAATCAGTTCTTAGCCAGCTTGATAAAAGAGTATTTCAGAATTTCCTTCAGAAGAGAATATCGGGGGAAAATATTTTTAGAGCGTTATGTTCTTGCATTTTTTTAGAGGCAGGATCTGCAGCCTCTCTTAGTTCCCATACTTTCATTAAACTCTAGAGCAGGGGTCTCCAACCTTGGCAACTTTTAAGACTTGTGGACTTCAACTCCCAGAATGCCCCAGCCAGCCATGGCTGGCTGGGGCATTCTGGGAGTTGAAGTCCACAAGTCTTAAAGTTGCCAAGGTTGGAGACCCCTGCTCTAGAGAAGACCTTGAAAGAAACTTCAGTCCCGTATTGTTGGTGTTAAGAGGAATTGTGAGACATTATTGCGAAAGGGTTTTCCTCCTTTGAAGAAGTTCAGAGAGGTTATCCACCCAATTTCTCCGCCACAATTGGCTGAACGTTTTGGAAAACGTTTCGGGTGAAATTTGTGCCCAGTTTTTGCAGCCTCCTCCTCCTCCTCCGTCTTCCCCATTGCGTCACCTTCACACCCTCGTCTTTTCTGCTCTCTCCAGGTCTGAAGGTGAACCGTTTAGACATGTACGGAGAGAAGTACAAGCCTTTCAAAGGGATCAAGTACATGACCAAGGCTGGGAAGTTTCAAGTCCGGACCTAAGACAGCTTCTGCCCAGGAGAAGACGTGGGATTACTCCTCCACCTCTGCTCTCCTCTTCCTCATGGTTGCTTCTTGATGTGACCCATCTGGATGTCTTCTGAGACAGGCTACTTTCCCCCCCCACCCCCGGTTGGGCCAGCCCTTCTTCCTTCTCTAACACTGGACCTCCCTGATGGCAACCAAGAGCAAAAAGGAGAAGTAGTAACTTCTCTTTGGGCTTGCTGGCTTTCAGCTTCAACAGAGTGCTTTTTTTCCCCCGGCCGGAGCTGCAGCAGAAGAGATGTTGGAGAACACCAGCAAGGGGAGGCCGAAGGATCTTCCTGCTTATGCCATGGGATTCTGACTGGAGAAGAGTCCCATGCCCATGGAAGGTCCAGCTGAAGGGACTCTTTTCTCTCCCCACCTGTCTTCGCTCAGCCTGTCTGATTTAACTCTATCCGTGTGGACGAAAACAGGAAAGAGACAGCTCCTTTCTTAGAAGGTTGCTGGCGATTTAGAAGAGTGTAAAGTGTAAATATGCTCAGCCTGGCTGTGGTCTACGGAGGATTTGCACGCTTGGAGACAGAGCTTGAGAAATGAGGGCGTTCCAGACGTATGGAAGCAAAGCAGAAACAAAAAAACCACAAGCATATACACTGTTAGAGCATAGCATCTGTTGTAGCATTGGCGGGAGCACCGATTTGGGCTGCACGGGTGGGGTTTCCGGGCTGCTGCGTTTCCTCTTGCATGTGCTTGCGTGTTGCACTTCCAGCTGATGTCTGACATGTGTTGCTGCTATACTAATAGATCTGCTTCCCCCCCCCCCCCCCGTCTGGTGCCCCCTGGCTGCCCGGCTGCGTGGCTGCTGTCCCTGGATCTTCTCCTGCTGGATCAGAATGGCCGTCCAATAGGTCTTCTCCATGCCAGGCTGGGCCACAGGCTGCTGGTCCCTTTTTTGGTGCAACCTCTCTTACAGCTTCGGGGTGTTTGCCCTTCTTAAGCCTGAGCTAAACCCGAGCTGTGGTGTGTGTTTCCATTCTGATCTGGACTCACCCCTCTTTGCATGCTTCTGTTTTGTTTGTCGAGAGGAAAAACCGGAGACAAATCCAAGCATTTGGCAGACCCTTTCTGGAAGGCCCTAACCATGCCGTGAAAAACTCCAGACCCAAGGAGGCGAGATCTGCCCGACAGGTTGGCAAATGCACTCTCAGCATGACGACTTTGCGACTTTCCTCTCTTCTCTTCTCCTCTCCTCCCTCTCTTTCTCCCTCTCCCTTAAAGTGGCTGTGAGTTGGGATGCTGTTGCAGGGCAGGAAGAAAATTATGGCCCGGTCATTGCAAGGGGTGCGTGTGTGTGTGCCTGCCTGCCTACTTGTAGCAGCAGGATTATTTTTTTAAAAGCCTAGGTTTTTTAGAAAGCCTCCATCTGAGACTGGCTGTCATCTTTTATTTGCACTATTTAACCAGGATTTCACCAGATGTAAAATGCAAATATTGCATTCTTAATAGATGTTTGTCTGAGAATGTCCATTGTTTGCTTTTGTGCATCTTGCGGTCAAAGTTGAGCTCTTTGGCACTCCTCTTTGTGTTACGATCGAAGAACTTTGCAAGGATCTGGTGTTCAAAAGACTCAAAAAGAACATCCACTTGTCTCTCCCGTCCCAAAATCCAGGATCTGATGCACCTTTTCTGACCGACAAATTGTATTCAAGGCACGCTCTTTTGTGTTTTAGGCCTTTGGTTGGAAAAGGGGCTAACCAGGCTCTTTCTGAATTTTTGCCACGTTTGTGTGTCTCCAGGAAAGGGGGGGATTTTTTTTTCCCCAGGTGACACCTGCCTTGATGCAAAAGATACAGGCTTCAGAGGGATGATTCCTGGAGACCTTTTAGGATGCACCGTTTCCTTCAGTTCAGTAGATGGAGATACAAGCCCAAGAGTTAGCATGCTTTTTTGTGAACAAACCAGGGGGACTTCTGAAGAGAGGCAGCCTTGTTTGAGGAATCAAAACAGCTTTATGGTTCATACCAGAGAGGAGTTCTGTCCAGAAGGTCTGTCTTGAGTTGAGAGGCTCATTTCCAAGGAGCCTGCAGATATCCAGATGTGTTCACCACCAAGGCTGAGGACCCAAGTGGCCCTCGGCCTCCATTCTTTCCAATTTCAGTCAAAAGCTCGGAAGATCCTTCTGTCCCTCCCAGCCGTTTAGGCGGGCTAATTATTGTAGTTGGTTTTTATTGTCTTTAAAAATTGCTTCTAGTTTTAGATGGTTAGCACTTGTCCTGAATGATGCTGGGGGGGGGGGTGGGGCAGAAGGGACCACAGACTTTGAAATAATAAGCAAAATAAATCTTCAGGCAAGTGTAGGAAATGGAATCAGAACTAATTAGGTCTTCACAGAGTAATTAATCCATGGACCAACTTGCCTCACAGAATTGTGGGATCTCCCATCACTGGAGGTTTTCAAGAAGAGACTGGACTGCCACTTGTCTGAGATGGAATAAGGACTCCTTCCCTCTGCAGGAGATGGACTAGGAGACCTCCAAAGGTTCCTTCCAGCCCTAGGATTTTATTCTGGTAACGTTTAGTTTAGCATCCTGCTCTCTCCCCCAATTCCAGCCCCCCTCCCACAAGGAACTCCATAATTGCCCATGTCAACATCGGAACCATGACAGCCCAAAGGTCATTCCAACCTTCCAATGTCTTGCTTTGAGCTTGTAGTTTCAGGAAGATGTAGGACACTAGTAGCTCTCCAGATCTAAAGGAAGCTCCTTTGATCAGGGATCATACTGGCAGAGCTGATAGACCTTGGAATTTAAAAGGAATGTAGTTCTATGATCCTTGACCCAAGGGATTAAGTTGCTGCATGAAGTTATTTCCTAAAGGAGCAAAAAATCACAAGTGAATGTTGGCAATTATTTTTCACTGAGTTAAACTTCTGGAGTGATCATTGTTCCCAACACTGTAGAAATATTAAGGGATGCAGTCCATTTCTGGATTACTAATAAGTCTTTCTGGGCTACTTGCGGACATCTGAGAGACATCTGATGACTTCCTGTGAAAACAAGACCCCGTAACTCCATAGGACTTTGGCCCGATCTTAATGTCATTCTACAAAGAAGATTGAACATATTCTTATTCATAAATTCTATAAGTCCTATGGACTTCAGGTCTACGTAGGATTTGCACTTTGCTGAGAGAAGTCTGATAGGATATTGGTAGCTCTGAGTTGAACTGAGGTCCTTGGTGCTCTCTGAGCTTGGTGGTTTTCTTGCAGATGTTTCAAGTCTAGCACTCATGTTACCTAGTTTGGCGATGAAATAAGGACCCCACAATAAGGGAAATCTTAACAATTCAATGAGGCAATGATCATACCATAAGATGGTATTGTAATGTGGGCATTTTATCCCTGTCCCCCTACAAATGCCCCTGCCACAGAGTCCAGTAAATCATACATAAACATAGCAGGCAAACTCTGTGCCAGGTACGGTGTGATGCACAATGAGCAAATCGAGGATAACCTTCAAGTAACTTAAAATAGTTTAATGCATTAAAACGTACAAGAATTCTCAAAGGCGTTCTCGATGAGCAGAAGACAGCTCTGTCGCTTTGTACATCGGAAAGTGGGTTTTTGATTTTATACAGAGAATGTGAAATATTTACAGAGTATAAAAATAATCTTTTGAAGCTTTAGGGAGAGAGGGGTGCCCAAGTGACTACCGAGTCCTCCTTTAAATATATATATATATAAACCCTTAGTAATTCTATGAATTGGTTTTCTCCCAAGGATTTCTTCAGTATGGTAGAAAAGACCTTGAAGTGCTTCCCTTAATTTATAGAAAGCAGGGGTTTTTTTTTCCAAAAAACCAACTAGGGGAGGCATATTTGAGGAACCCCCAAGGCCAGCCTAGGATCCTTGTACTCAGAGTCTCCCAAAGAAGACTAAAGGCAGAGGCAATTCTCAGATGTTGTTGTGACAAATAGAGGTGGTCCTCAACTTACAACAATTAGTTTAGTGACTGAAGTTACAACAGCACTGAAAAAGGTGACTTACGACCGTTTTTCACATGATTGTTGCCACATTCCCATAGTCACGTGATCAGATTTTGGGTGGTTGACCACCGGCATGTATTTATGACGGTGGCAGCGCCCCAGGGTCACATAATCCTCTTTTGGGACCTTCTGACAAGCAAAGTCAATGGAGAAGCCAGATTCCTTTAACAATTGTGTTAATATCTGGCAGCCAAAAGGCACGATGAAAATTCTTTAATTTCACAACAGATCGACAGATTTAACCGTCGTTTCAACTGGGGAAATGTGACAGTCCTAGAGCAGGCCAAATCCAAAAACACCAGGGGATTTCTAGAAGCCTGGCAAATCCACCATCAACAGACACATAGACATTAGCAACATCTGTAGACTATTCAAAAGAGGCCATCAACCAGTCCCAAAACCCAGTAATCAGCACTCAGATCAGCATAGGGTCACCTTCAGATCAACAGTCAAGGAAGCAGGACCCCCATCAAGGAACTGCCACAGAGCCATTCGTAAACAGCCCTACCAGAGAATCCCTAAGACCGCCCACCCACCCACCCAGACAGGCAAGACCCCAGAATACAAACTGACAGCAAACAGCACCCCTTCCTAGCACTGATGATGTTAACCTAGTTAGGGTCATGAAACGTCTGCAAGCTCAGAGAGCACCAAGGACCCCTCATTTCAACCCCAATATTCATCAATATCTTAACGATTGCAGTGATTCACTTTGCAATTGTGGCAAGACAAGTGGTAAATTGGGGCAAAACTCACTTAACAACTGTCTCGCTTAGCGACAAGAGATTTTGGACTCCGTTGTGTTGGTATGTTATGGACTACCTGTCAGTGTTTGGTCTGAGAGAGGCCTAGAAATGCTTCTTGGGGAAAAAAAAACCTATCGTTTGAGCCTGCTTCCTAAGCACAGCCGCGCAGACCGCAAACTCATCGTTGCAGGAGAGAGGCACCGCACAAAGTGTGTGTCCTCCTCCCCAAGAGTTAACATCAGCTTCCCAGCCCGGATTCCAGTGTGTGATTCCCTGATGCAAGGAGGTCGTCGGAGGAAGCCCAACAGGCTTCTCAGTTACGCATGTTCTCCTGGATCCAGTTCAGGTAGCGAACCACTCTCGTGTAAACGCCCGGCGTGTTTTTCGCGGCGCAACCCACGCCCCAGCTGATGATGCCGATTAACTTCATGCGGCCCTCGTGCAGGCAAACCAGGGGGCCTCCCGAATCGCCCTGCGGGAGGAGAGAAATCGGAGAAGGGGCGAGTGAGCGACAACAGCTCCCCACAAGGCCTAGCTTTTCTGATGGAAACACTACTCGGAAGATGCTGGGCCTTCAGACTGATCCTACAAGGTTATTCTTAACATTTTGGATGTTACCTGGCAGGCGTCATGGAGGTGTCGGGTATCTCCTGCACACAACATGTTCTCGGTGACTGTCCTTTTGGCAAGTCGTGCAGATGTACACAAGCTGTCTGGATAGAGCCTCACGTGTCCTTCCTTTAGACGTTCTGAGTGGAAAGGAGAAGCTGTTTGGGAGAAAGGAATATTGTGAAGAGAGGGGAAAAGGTTCTTCTGGATCATAAATATTGGGCTTCGTACAATTTGCTCGACCTTAATTCTGGGTTCACAAAATGCAAGCGCCTTCAGATGATATCGAATGCTCAAAGATACAATATTATGACGATGTAAACAGTATGCTGTCTGAGACCAAGTCAAGAAAACAACACTTCCCAGAACGTGTTGACCCACAACATTGAGAAACCTTAGATCAGATCTCACGACACACTTACGTCTAGGCTAAATTGACTTCGTGGCCCGAAGGAAAACACCGAACTGATCCAACATTTAACTCCTGATGTACATTTTGGAACACGTTCGAAAGGTCGTCGGTCCTTCGTTTTCTGTTCATAGGATGGGACAAGTTTTGTTATGAGAAATTAAAAAAAGGAGCACTCTCCTAGCATAAACTCAGCATCTGACTAAGAGAATAAATTGAAGTGATTAGACAGAAGGAATTAAAGGACATCCGGGAACATCCAGAGAGGGAAGACAGCCTCTGGATTCTGCCATCAGACAAATTATTCCTCCATGCAAAAAAGAAAAAGAAGATAAAAAATCCATAAATATAAAAAGGTAGATGCTGTGGAATTGGGCAAAATGTAGACGTACGGCCATGGAGCCCATGTTCAGGGAACTTCTCTCTAGCCAAGTGTGTGCTTTGTGCTGTTCTGCGTGTGGTATTTATATGGGGCCTGCTGTATGTGGCTTTTTAGATGTTGAGTAGGGTGTCGATGGCTGGCTATTAAGTCCTTGGCTGTGGGTTGCTTGTGCTGCCAAGCCTTTGCCTCCTAACTATTGGATAAGCTGGTGGTAAATCAACATTCCTGTTGACTTGAGGAGGGGCCTGTTTCCCAGGCTTCCCTGGCTGTTTTTGTGCCTGCTCGTCCAACAATCTTAGTAGCTGTGACATTGAAGTATGTCCTTGTTCACTGCAGCGTGAGGCTATCAAGGAGTTCGGGTCTCCTCGTCCGACCGCTCCCTTGTGTTCTTGCCATCTGGTCCTTAGCTGTCCTACATAGTTACAGGAGCAATCGGAAGCTCGGAAGGCGACATCTCTGATCCCCAGTGACTGACCCAGATTGGATCCTGCAACATTATCCCGGGACACGTAGATTCGCCTTCATTCAAAAAAAGCTATTGCTCGGTGTTTTGAGCTTTGCCTCTGGCCATCTCCGAAGCCCTTTCCCTGAGCACTGGGGCCATGTGAGGCTGCCACAATCACAGCACAGGGATTTGAGAAGAAGGGGAATTCTAGGAGGAGGAGGTTATGATTTGAGGATGGGATGTGCTCTAACAGAAAGCAGATGCTTTGGGATGTAAACACGGCCGTATCAGCTGATTAGCAACTGGATAGGAATGTAAGTCACAGACATGACTGCTGCATCCAATTCAGCAGAAGGAAGCTGTTTGTTTAGGGAGGGTAGAATATAACAGATGTCTTTTTTCCATCATGAATTGACCTAGCTCATTTTCAGCCAAGAGGAGAGCTCTCTAGAGAGTCCATCACCCACGAGGCTGGTCTTGGAAATTTCTCAACAAGATTTTCTTTTCCCCAAAGCCCAGTATTTCTGGAAACAGACTGGACTTTTTTAAAATTGTGGTTTTTTATTCCCCCCCCCTAAAACAGGAGTGTCTAATCTTGGCAACTTTAAGACTGGTGGACTTCAATGCTCAGAATTCCCCAGCCAACATGAGAACACCCGGGCCCTCTTTCCAGCAAGGGTCAATTCTGCCCTAGAAAGCCGGTAATACAATGTCCAGCGCTCTGTCTGTCCAGAAGCTTCTGCAGCCAGATTGTCCTCCGGCCCTCAGTGCCGGTGAAAGAGATCCTCACGTACCCATTTCATGCTTGCCGTAGCCGGACACCTCACACTCCGTCCAGTCGGGCAGCTGGAGTCCAGCTTCAGGGAGACAAACGGGACGGACGCTGTCAGTTTCTGTGGCACACTTTTCGGAATGTTCTTTCAACTTCAGCAGGGCTGTTCAAACAGAGAGAAAAAGGGAGAGAGAGAGAGAGAGAGAGAAAGGCCCACGAGAAGCAGAATTCAGAATAACGGAAGGGTCCTTAGAGGTCTTCTAGTCCAACCCCTGTTTGAGCAGGAGATCAGTCAGAAGCAGATCTCCTCCAAGCCGGGAGGGAGGCAGGAAAAAGGCTTACCAATGTCGTTATCCAAAGTCCTGGAGTTGTGCTTCTCGTGTGTAATATATCTCTCTACTTGGAAGACCTGTTCTGTGTCTGATGATTTCACACGGAACGTCCGACCCAGGACGACTTTGATGCGTTGGGGGTTGATGCTCCTGTATAGAAAAACCACAGGTGAGGGCCAGCTTCCAGGGTCAACCTTCCTTCCCTCCAAATGCAACGCTCTCCTTTCTCTTCCCAATAGGAACCATGAGCAGAGGGTTGGACTACAGGACCTCCAAGGTCCCTTCCAGCCCTATTATTCTATGTTCCACGGTGGGAGGGCAGGCAACGGCGGGGGTGGGTGGGTAGCTTAGGACAGCAGTTGTGAACAGGAGCTCAAAAGATTTTAGTTCAGGAGAAGAATTTGAGGAACCTCTTCCCGGACACGAGTCGCAACCGATAGGAAGTTCCTCGAAGGTACCTTTTCGACTCGGATGATGGGTTTTACACTCTTTCCCCTTCCTGAATAAGATTTTGCTCCATTCAATATACACCCTATAGACCCCTTATTCTTTGTTAGGGTGTCACTTAAACCTAAGGTTTTATGCTATCAGAATTCGCGAGTGTTTCTCAACCTTGACAATTTTAAGGCATGTGGAACTTCAACTCCCAGAATTCCACAGCCAGCATTGCTGGCTGTGGAATTCTGGGAGTTGAAGTCCACATGCCTTAAAATTGTCAAGGTTGAGAAACACTGGCTAAGGACTTTCACTTAAAAATCATCCTGTTCTTTCCATTTGCTAATAGTGCCAGAAATAGCATACATTTTGGCTGCAAAACCCCCAACAGCAAAAGGAGAAAACTCTCAGTGTGTTGACATTCATTGACTGCTCGGGTTTTTACAGCTGTTGAGTGAAAACAGTTTCCATAAGGTGTAAAGCCAGCCCACTGTGGTTGCAACAAACCATGGCTTATATAAACCACGGCTTGGTGTGATAAGTCAGCTTAGACAATATCGCTGCAGAATAGTTGGGTGGGAACAAGCGTCAATGTCTCTGCAGATGATCCAGGAGGACTTTTTTTTAATGTTCTGAGGAAGTTACACCCTGCAGTCAAATGCACCTACACAGCCCGGCACATCCTCCTCTGTTCTGTGTACTTTCCAGGGCTTTTATTTATTTATTTACTTATTTATTAATTAAACGAATTGCCCGCCTCTCTTACCACAGGGTAACACAGGTTTGAAAGATGCTCGCAATATTTTGACAAAGCAAATGCAAAAACTAGGGGGGGGGTGTTCCAGAGTTGGAGGATGATGGAGATGCTTGCTCTTGGGCAGCTTTAAATCACGGTCAGAAGGAAAGGGGGGGGGGGAGAAATGCAACTTGAAGTTTCTTTGGGACCCCTAATCGTTCCACAGCTTCCTGGGACACAATCTCCCCCTTGTGAAGATTTTGCAAGAAGAAGACACTTTTAACTTCCTTGCATGCAAGAGAAGATCCCAGATCAGTTCCTTGGAGTCACCGGGAAATAGCGAGAATCCCTGCCAAACAGCTGTGAACACTGAGCAAGACAAAGGATCTTGGTTAGCGGTTTTGGTCCTCTGTGCCTAAAGCAGAAATTCTCCTCTGCTATCAAGGAATTTGCTTCCTAGCCAAAGTCTAGAGCGTGAGTCACAGGCTGATTTCTTACCCTTTTGGAAAGCAGTGAGCAGCTGAGAGGACCCAGCAGGAATTGATGAGGATCCCACCACACTGATAACCTTCTGCACCTCGGTTGGTCACAAAAATGCCCGCCTGCCACGGGTGGGACTCAATGTATGAATATGCACCTCCTTTGATCTGGATCTCAGCCACCTTGTGCTTCCTCAGTCCACACGTGGCTGCAGATGGGAAGGAAGGAGCCAAGGAATAAGATTTAGAGGTGACAAAGCAGTGAAAATCAACATCTGTTTGCCATCACTCTAGAAGCCTGGCATTTGGACAAATGAGCCATCAGTAGACACAGAAACAACATCGACATACTGTGGAAAAGAGACAATCGACAAGTCAAAAAGGGAACAAGAAGACCAAAACACCTCTACACCAGCATGCTCCACAGAGGCCGGATGTAGTCAGTATAAGATGGGCAGACTGTAGGCTGCAAAATGTTGCTTAGCCGCTATTTCCCATTTTACTCGTGCCAGCAGGGAATGTTAGGAATTGTGGTTCAGCCACATCTTGAGATCCATTCGTTCTCCATTCCCAGCATAAGGCTTGGGCCACAATCCCTGTGAAGAAGAGTCTCAAATAAATCAGAGAAAGGACCCACTTACAGCAGGTTGGCACATCACAATGTTCCCATTTGGTCACACCGTTCTTGAATGTATGGCACCATGGCTGAGTGTCATTGTCAGGATTCCTGTAACACACAAGAAGTGGGAAGGTTGGGAAGACTGTAGTCCCCGGTTGTTTAAGTCAATCACTGCAGTTGTTAAAGTTAGCAACACGATTCTTAAGTGATTCTGGCTTCCCCATTGACTTTGCTTGTCAGAAGGTCGCAAAAGGTGATCGCGTGACTCCAAGATACTGCAACCGTCGTAAGTACATGCCAGTTGCCAAGCATTCAAATAAGTCAAAGAAATATCTCCACGTTTCCAACTCAGGACAAAGCAGAACCACCCCCACCCGGTCCAAACCTCACCCACTGTGGCCCTCCTGCTGCCAAAGAATATTCCACAGAGATTCCATCGTTCAAAGCCCACTTAGTTGAGTTGGGCAGCTGTAGAAATTGAATAAATACATTTCTGGTTCACCTGCAGTAGTTGTGGCTGCTGAGGCCTAGTTGATGGGCATCGGGATGAAAGGCGTTGTAAACTTTCTTGTCAAGGATGTGGGAGTCCCATCTCAGGCAGGTCACCCCAGACGCTGTTTGGTGATGTCCGCCCCGATAGTCAGTGCCTCTTCCCAAAATACAGGAATGTTTTTCTTTGGCAAACAATAGGAAAAGGGATAGGTTTGTTAGGGAAAGTCCCATTTTCTCATTCATTAGCTTGGAGACCCCCCTTCTATTGACGTTGGCTGAATATAGGGAAAGATCTGGTCAGATGCAAGCCACTAGATACACACAGGTAGTTCAAGCAAACTACTTTAATGTATTCTGCCAATAATACAGGAATCTCCCCAGATTGGTAGCCTTCACCTGGGAATAGATAATGTTCCATGGAGCTTAGGGGATGTCAGCTTTGAATCTTTTATGATCCCAGGCTAGTTCCCATCTTGACCCTTCCTCCCTGCCTGGCTGGACACTTCCCAACAGGTCCCCCGCTGAAGTAGGGGCCAATACTTGAATGATGAGAGGGATCCTAACTCTTCATACAAGGCAGCAAAATACATTTTTTTAAATATAATCCTGGAGAGATTATTATAGTGATGGGTGTCTGGGCAACCATAAAGCCCTGAAATGTTCAATTTGCCCACTGCTAGAGCAAAAGCATCTGGAAACAATGTACATCTTTTCAACAGGGATCTTTAGTAAGCAACTACAAATTGCCCAGAAAGTTATCAAGTTGGCCTGATATTACAGTAAAATGCTAATTTTAAAAAAAGGAAAAGGTTTCCCCTGTCCAGTCGTGTCCAACTCCAGGGTACAATGCTCATCTCCATTTTCTAGCCAAGCCTTGTCCGAAGATGCTTCTAGGGTCATGTGGCCAGCATGACTATACACTGAGGTGCACGGAAAGCTGTGACCTTCTCACCGAATTGGTACCTATTTATCTACTTGCACTTACATGTTTTCGAACTGTTAGGTGGCAGGAGCTGGAGCTAGTGACGGGAGCTCACCCCGTCGTGCAGTGCTTGGGTCTCAAACTGCCAAACTTTCGGTTGACCAGCCAGGCCACCGCACACATCAAAATGCTAATGGCACCAAACAAATACAGAGCACTACATGTGTATGGGTGTGCATATGTATGCAGACGTACATACATATATACAAATACAGATATATGTAAATATATGTATAAATAAATTACAATGGGGATTTTTTTTGGTTGGGAAATAGCCTAAAAGAGCCATATAAGTCCTAAAAACAGGTCCATCTGAAAATTCCTAAATTCCCCAACCTGCCCAGCCTATATACTGTATGTATCATGAGCCATATTATACCCCTCCACTCATGACTTTACCAATCATTTAGTAAGCCATGAATAAACCATGGAGTAACAAATCCCACTTTTAGCCAGCTTAGGAACTGCGTCCTCTTGACTTTTTCAGTAAACAACAATAAAGAGTTTGAACTTACGGTTGGCACAGGATGTAATGCTGCAATATTCCCAGACGTACATGTTTTTTTTAAGGACATGGCACCAGGGTTTCGAGCTTTTATCTGGATTTCTAAAGAAGACAATGATAGAATATTCAGGATTATGAGTCTATTGGAGGGAAGGAGGGAGGGAGGAAGGATCTTGGAATTAATAATGCATACGAAAGTAATTCATAAGGAATATGCCAAAGAAAACATAATATCCTGGTGTTGTATCATTTCCACTAGCTTCCGAGGCCTCCCTTTTCTTAATTAAAACACTTTTACTAATCTCTAAACCTGTTCATAAACCAAAGATTTATCTTAGCATTTTTCTGTCCAATGTATTTAATTCCAAGAATATATTTTTGCCCGCAGTAGCTCACACTTAATACTTTTTAATAAGACTTGTTCATCAGAAAAGGTGCTACCAAACTCCTGATTTTTGGCTCTTATAGACCAGCATTTCTCAACCAAGGCAACTTTAAACTGTGTGCACTTCAACTCCCAGAATCCCCCAGCCAGCCATGGAACTTGAGGAGCTGCGGAGTGGCCTGAAGTCCTCACAGCTTAATGTTCCCCAAAGACTGAGAAATACAGCTATAAAACATTTCAGTTCCCCTCCAAAGCGTGCATGATACGAGGAAGGAGAAGTCAGACAAAGCAAGTTGGTACCGGATTAAAATTCTTACCGGCAATAATTGTGATCGCCAAGCCCCAACAGCAAGGCGTCTGGACGATCTGCGTGGAATCTCTTAAAGCGCAAGGCTTTGGTCTTCCAGTTCACACATTCTGCACCACTCTCCGTGGTGCTCCAGGTCCCCCTGTATGTGTCCCCTATATCCTGGTAACACACAGCTCTGGTATCTGAAGAGGGGGAGAAGGAACATTCCCCTGAGTCTCTCTCAAACTGCCTCTGGAGAACTCTCCACGCACCAAATTTGGCAACTTTTAAGACTTGTGGACTTCAACTCTCAAAATTCCTGAGCCAGCATAACTGTAGAGCAGTATTTCTCAATCTTGGCAACTTTAAGATGGGTGGGTGTCAACTCTCCACCGTGCTTGAGGGGAACTCTGGGAGTTGATGTCCACCCATTTTAAGGTGGCCAAGGTTGAGAAGCACAGCTTTAAAGCATGCATGAAATGGATCCTACTCTGCAATTTTCCTTGCTTTTTTAAAGCATGTGTCCCTTGAAGGGAAGCAATAGATTCGCAGTTGGAGTCTGAGGTGGACCCTCCTTTTCTTCTTCTTCTTCTTCTTCTCTTGAAGGCTAGCACCAACAACTGGTAGAACATTGTGGCTGTGGACAGACTACACATTAGATTTCTACAAGCTCTTCATGCTTGGTCCCTTTTAATTGTTGAAATTGGATATGATCTGGAGCAGGCAGATGCTATTATATGTATTTACACTGAGTGCTGCACATATAGAAATGGAGTCTGCAAAGCCAGAGGGAGGGACCACAGCACAGTGAGTCTTCCTAGGTGGCTCACTGTAGGAGATGACCAGGCTGAGTCCGAGGGAGGGGTCATGCCCATCATCCATCTCAAGTCCCTTCATGCCCACAAGAGATCTAAGTCCAGCCCACCTTGAATTCCACTGACCCTTATCCATGGCTAATTTGCTTTGACCATTAATGCTTCAGATCTTTCTTGAAAGCCTTAGCATGCAATAAACTTTTATATTCATTTGAACTGCCCGAATCTGCTGATTTCCTGCGCCCGACGCACCCATCAGTTCATCCTCCTGTCACGTACTCACCAATTTCACAGAACTTCCCCGAGAAGCCTGGGGGGCAGAAGCAAATGAAAAGGTTGGGGGAGTACAAGGCTTGCTGGCAGCGGCCCCCATGGAGGCAAAGTGGCTTTATGCAGCCTGTGGGAGAGAAAACAACAGCCCCTTAATTTCCCCCTTCCGTGGCCCGGCTGTCTTCCCTTCCTTGGGGAAGGAAGAGAACCATGATGCAAAGGCAGAACAACTGGTTTTACATGCAGAGAAGCTTTCCAGTCCAGTTTCCAATCATTCCCACTACAAAGGATTGCAACGAACAGCTGTTGGAAATGGTTTTCTCCCAGCCCAACTTCCTTCCTGGAACTCACCTTTGACAGGTACTGCATGGCAGAAGATGCCACTGTTCTCACACCGACAATATTCTGTTCTCCCTTTGACTCGGCGGAGCCAACTCTCCTTCTGAGTGTAGGTCTGTTTGGTGAATGGGTCTCTGCATCTGCCTGAAATCAAAAAAGACAGGAAGTCCTTCCCAGTTTCGATGGCAGGGCGCCAGTTCCGCCTTTCCCTTCACCATTGTGTGTGCAGCCCAGAACAATCTACAACCTTTATCAACTCTCCTCCTCCGAGCCTCATTTTTCCCCCAAAGGTTTTCTCCTTCCAAAGATTTGGCAAGCCCCTCAAACCTCTTCAGATAAGCGTTCTCTGCAGTGCCAGTTCACAACCTGTTTGTTTGCTTGGGCAGCAGAAGTTGTTTTTATAAAGCTGGTTGACCCGAGTGAACAATCGTGTGCTTTTCCTGCGTTTATCCCGCTGCGATTGATCTGGTTTTATTATTGGGATGGTTTATTGTTTTTATGGTATTTCCTACACCAGCCTGGCATTCTATGAGGAAAGGCCGATACATGCTTATTTTAACATAAAAGAAAGAGCGAAGGGCGTGCCGTATCTGAAAGCAACACACTTGTCAGATTAGTCTGTAGGCGCAAAGCCTGGCTAACCCCTAGCCCTCTTTTTCAAAATGTGTGAATCTGCTGGCTCTCTTGAGGAGCCCTAAGAATCTTCCCCAAAATCTTGTAGAGGCACAGAAGCTGCAGAGAGAGGACTGGATTTCTACTCCTGTTTTGGAGGATCCATGCAGGCAGTTCCTTGCTGTTCGTAGGATCTGCAGATATTTGCAAATGCACTGAACTCCCATCCCCCCCCCACTCCCCCAGCATTTACTCTTTGGGCACTCCATCCCTTGGGCGGTCAGCCATCTTCTTCCTATTTAGAATATAGAATTATAAATAGAGTTGGAAGGGTCCTTGGAGCTCTTCTCATCCAACTCCCTTCTCAAGGCAGGAGCCTTAAACCATCCCAGTCAAATGGCTGTCCACTTCTCTTCTTGAAAACCTCCCGATTCCAGGAGGCCAGCTGTTCCACTCATTAATTGTTCTCACTGTCAGGAAATTTCTCTTTAGTTCCAGGTTGGGTCTCTTTAAAGAGTTTGTCTGAGGGTTGAAGTGGAAAACATCCATAGTCTCCTCCAATGGGCGCCTTACCTCTTCTTAGTTGACCTTCTCGGCCACTGTGGATAACGCGTACAAACAGCTCCTAGAAAAAGAAAAGGAACAAGCCAAATAATCAAGAATAGAAAGTTGATTAGACCCCAAGGTTTAGGAAAGTGGGAATCTTGGAGATCTTCTAGTCCAGCCCCCTGCTCAAGCAGGAGACCCTAAACCAGGGGTAGGCAACCTCGGCTCTTTTATGACTCATGGACTTCAACTCCCAAGTTGACTCAAGTCCATGAGTCATAAAAGAGCCGAGGTTGCCAACCCTGCCCTATACCATTTCAAACAAAAGATTGTCCAATCTCTTCTTGAACACCTCCAGTGACGACCACCCATGACTTTTGAAGGCAAGCTGTTCCACTGATTAATTGTTCTCATTAATCTTTTCTCATAGTACTACTCATTATCATAGTTCTCATTACTCTTAGGACAAGCTGCTTGAGTCTTTGGAAGAACAGTGTTTCATAAACCAGGGTGTCCGTAGGCTGTGTAGGCGCATCACAACGTGCGACATGCAAAACCCCAGTGCAAGCCATGTTTTGTGTACATACACAAGAGGGACAGGGCTTGCATGAGGACACCATGGGTACCACCTTCGGATAATGACCCTACCTTCACCATCCTTTTCCTTGGATGCTGCAGTTTAGAGATACAACTAATGAATGAAAAAGAAATGAAGGCAGGTTTTTTATTTTAATAGTAGAAATGCTAAGAGTGAAAAGCAGCAGGAATATTTCATTCACACCTGACAACATTAAAAAGCTGAGATGATAGTGGTCTTCCAGTACTTGAGGGGCTGTCACAAAGCAGAGGAGATCAACCTCTCCTCCAAAGCCCCTGAAGGGACAACAAGAAGCAATGGATGGAAACTTATCAAGGAAAGAAACAACCTAGAATTAGGGAGAAATTTCCTACCAGTGAGAACAATTAACCAGTGGAACAGCTGGCCTCTGGAAGTTGTGGGTGCTCCATCAGTGGAGGCGTTTAAGAAGAGATTGGATAACCATCTGTCTGAAAAGTTATAGGGTTTTCCTGCTTGAGCAGGGGGTTGGACTAGAAGACCTCCAGGGTCCCTTCCAACTCTGTTTTTCGATTCTGCTATTCTGTTAAGAGCCTTCCTTTTTAGAAAGCTCCTTGTGACTGGGCTTCGATCCAGCTCAGAGATTTGCTGAACTGGATAATTCTCTCTCATCATTCTTCCTTTTGTATCTTTCAAAGGTCTAAGCCCGCCTGCAGAAAAGATCTTCCTTCTCAGCTCTGTGAACTTGGCAGTGAGCCTTTTTGTTCCAAGAACCAAGTAAATATCCTTTTGATCAGTGACACCACTCCAGCCAAGCTTAGAAAACAAACCCCATCTGTTTTCTGACAGAGTCCACAAAACCACACTCAGCTGCCCAGCAAAGCCGGAGAAAAACAGACCGATGGGCGCGCTGGCCTCTTACCTGGCACTGAAGCAGGGTGAGGGCTCCTGCCAGGAGGAGGAAGAGAAGAGTCTGTCTCAGGCCCATTTTATTCCCTTTCAGCAAGCAAGAAAACCCCTGAAAGACATCCAAGGAGAGACATTAGCCTAAGGAGGCAACCGAAGGGCGCAGACTCAGTGCAAGGCACGGGTGGGGAGGGCAAGCAAAGCACACATAAGCCAGAGGCATAATGGGAACAGATGGCTGGGGGAGGATTTCTCCTGAGTCAGCTAAAGACTGAGCAGCAGCAGCTGCATGACAGCACCATGGACACCAGTTTAAGGCAGCTAGGCTGATCTGCTCATGCAGCGTATCTCCATCCCATAATATTGCCCCAGATCTGCTGCTTCCTTTCTGGTCCCTGCCTCCCAAGTGTGGAAAGTAGCTTCTCTGGCCTGAAAACGGGGTTGTGGTTTTGGCTTTCTGTTGGTCTGGGTCACTGGGCCTTCACTTCTGTGACTCATTCATCCCAGCCATAACAGACTTCCAAGGTCTTTTAAGTCAGCTCCCCAAACTAAACCTTTTCTGGTCCTGGAGGAGCACGGGGAGGAGAATTTGGACCGTCTTCATGTCCCTGCAGTAGTTGCCCAGGGCAAACTTTATCTTTCCTCACGCTCAGTTTCCCCAGTTTGAAAATCATCTTCTCTAGAAGTCCTCTTACAGTTTTGCACGGTACGTACCAAGGTGTAATCAAGCCACGCGCCGAAGAAATGTTAAGTTGCTGGGACCAACTGGGAAGCAGAGGGATGGCAGATAAATGAGTCACTTTAGCCAGACACTAAAACAGAGAAAGAGATAAAAGTTTTGGGTTCAAATAAGAATGGGTTTCGAGCAAAAGTAAACTAAGTGTAAATTAACCATTTCAGAGCTTCCCCCAAAAAAAGTCAAATAGCAGGAGGGGGAAGAACAGTCCCCAGGATTTTGAATCCCCCATTGTTCAACATCAAAGGTGCAAAGTGATCTGGATGAAGCTGCAGTTGGTCTGAAGGACTACCCAGGGCTGTTCTCCCAAAAGGAGACTGGATGAAGCCAGGACAAACGTTAATGTGGAATTAACCACCTATAAGGTAGGTTCTGTTGAGAGTGGTGTGGTGGCCTAGTGGTGAAGACTCTTGCTTCCCACTCGGAAGGTTGAGAGTTCAATCCTAGGTAGTGACAGATGTTTTTGTCTCCTAGGGCGCAGACCAGATTTGGCAGCTCCAGTTAGGCAGAAGAAGAACATCGTGGCTTCAAAATCTAAGGGACTGGTTTGGACAAAACTCAGCCAGCACTTTTTTGTGCGGCTGCTGATAAAAACAGGATCGCCCAACATGATCGCCAATGTCCGATAACGGATATG